GGGGGGGGGGGGGGGGGGGGGGGGGCTGTACTCAGAGAGGGGAGTGAATCAGCACCTATCCGGCATAAGAGCTCTGATCAGCCACCTGACCCTGCCTCTGAAAACTGTAATTACATCTGTAATTCTGACTAAATTATCAGCATTTATTTATTCTTCTACTTATTTTAGATCTGTATGTATACATATAGTTACAAATGTATATATATATATGTATATGCTGTTGTATATCTGGAAAATAATTTCCCTCTGGGATTATTAAAGTATTCCTCCAGATTCCAGCCCCACTGACCTCTCAAAGCCGTATCTGAGGGCGATGAAGGCCAGGGCCAGCGGCAGAGTGCAGAGGAGGTCCCGCGGGGAGGGGAAGCGCCCGCCGGGGGCCTGGATGTCCGTCCAGCCGGCCCCGGGGGGCAGCCAGTACTGCTCCTGCCACAGCCACTCGTTGACCAGGGCCTCCATCCTGACCTGGACAGCACAGGGGAGACACGGGGGGGGGGTCAGGGTTCAGAGCCAACTGGTACAGCTCCAGATGTATGTCCAGCTGGGATATTCTGTTCTTCTACTGAGGGAAACTACAGCCACAGACATGAAGAAGGCCCCAGCCCAACGGCTGCAGGGATCGGTGGACCGGTCAGGAAAACACAACAAGAATCAGACTGTTTCCAGCTGCTGCTCCCAGATGGAGGAAGGAACTACCGAACATTACAAGAACAACCTTTTCTATCTTTAGGAAACTCTTAAAGACCCCCTCTCCACAGAGCAGCTCCTATCCTGACTCTTCCCCAGACCTCTGGACCCAATACTCCTCTTTCTGCGCTTCCCTCTCTCTCTTGCTGTCTCCACTGATTCTGACTGGGGGTTTTCCTCTAAAGAACTTATTGTCAGATTGATGATAACTGTAAGATTGTGTCTACAAGTCGCTTTGGATAAAAGCGTCTGCTAAATGCAGAAACATAAACTAGAAACGAGATTAAAGAAGACAGCCCACACTAGACCTGACCTGAGAAAAGCTATGAAACTATCTACATTTACAGAGACACAACAAGCTCCTTAAATCTATCCTCGGTCCGTGCTGTGGGCAGGGCGGGCCTGTGTGGGCTCACAGCCTCCCGGGGTCCACATCCCGGGCTGCCCCGGCCCCCGGGCTGCCTCCACCCGGCCTCCGCAGCACAGCGCCCGGAACACGGCCGCGCTGGCTCTCAGACTCCCGTTCAGAGCATCATCAGCGGGGTTCGGGCGGCCGGTCTGCGCCCCCCCGGAGCGGAGATCCGCCTCACGGGTCCTGCTCCCAGCAAAGAGGAGCAGCCGGGGCGGGCTGGTGTCCGTGAGCTCGGTGCTTACCTGCCAGGTTCCTCTGATGGGGATGGAAATGTGCAGCTCCAGCTAGGAGGACAGGAGGAGCCTGTGTGACGCAGCCGCGGAGGGGCGGGGGCGAGCCGTCATCATCATCCTCATCATCATCATCATCCTCCTCCTCATCCTCATCCTCAGGAGAACAACAACATGCCCCGGAGCTGAGGACAGAGGAGCAGCCGGCCGTATTTAGGCTGGAAAACATGGCGATAAGCTCCGGTTTCTGTCTTCACGCTCCGCTGGCTGCGCTCTTCTTCACTTCAAGTCACTGAAGAAATCAGCTTAGTAAAAGAAAACGCTTTTTCTCTTCAACAAACTCACATTTAAAGCAAAACTGATAAAACTGCTAAGCTCCGCACTAAATACTTATTTTGCCTCATAAGAAACATCCATGTAAACGTTGCTGCAAAGCGAAGGAAATTCAACATTTTGGGTTTTTGCAGCTAGCTTAGACCTGGATCCCATCCTGAATTTGTGTTACAAACATTGGACAGTGAGTTAACACAGAAAAACTGATTTTATTATGAGAAATATTAGGAAAATATTACAATAAATCATTTATTGCTTTCCTCTTGCACCTCCTGAAGCATACTCACCATTTTAACCAGAAGAAATCTGATTGCCCAATAGACAAATATAAAATAGAATCAAATTTGACATGGACAGTTTATCTGGCCAGCCTCCTGCTGACACTGAGAAATGCTTTAGAAAGCAAAAGCTCACATTGTGTCCTACTTTCCCTCTTGTTCCACTTTAAGATGAGGAAGAGGAAACACGCTCAGAGGAAGGGAAAGTGGAGCTGGTGCTCCCATGAAGAACATCTTTTTCTATTCACAAGAGAAACTCTTCATTTCACCTCCTCCAAACTGAGTTTTTGACTTCTTATATGGAGAAAATAAATGACAACAGGAGATTTGCCTACTAAGGAACCCATACTCAGGTGGGTGGCCAAAAGAAAAAGAATGCAGGTACATCCTGATAATGTTTATCACGCTCAGACTGTTGATAAGACAGGTATGCTCACATGACGCTGCCAGTCATACCAGTCATTTCAAGAGGCTGGAGGAGAAAGCTGTTTGTGGAAGGAATGCGTACTAAACCTGCCCTTTCTCTCTCCACTACAAATTCATTTAAGAGAGCTCTGGTGTCCCCTTTAATTCCAGATCCTTTGTTGTGAAACCACATTGTGTGTAACCACCTAACAAACATTTAAAAATGGAAACGTCATGGAAAGAAATTCCCCAAATTCTCACAGGAGTCTGGAGACAGCCGTTCACAGAGAGAACAGCAGGTGTGCATGTGATATTCCAGGGAAGTATTAGCCTATAGGCCATATATTCTTTAATCCTAAGTGGTGTGAAGCTTATTCTGACTCCTGTGGCTGCCCAGAGCTGAGCCTCAGACAGTCAGAAAACCAGAGTACAGCTCATGGAGACGCCTCCTGCCGGTCTCACGCCTCCGGCTCCAGAACAAACGTTAAACACACGTCTTACTTTCCTCCTTTAATTTTGTATGACCTGCTCACCTGTGAGAATGCGAGGGTGGAACGTACCATGTGACTGATCATAGGCGTTCAGCAGGAGGGAGATAAGGAGACTTCTGTCCGCACCTGTGGAATTCTTCAGATAGCTGACTGCCGGCTGGAGGTCAGCTGGCTGCTAACAGCACAGAAGCTGTTTCCAGGTTAAAGAGTCCTGTTCGTGCTCCTCTGCTTGGGAACGACCCACAGCTGAACTCAGGCCGACAGGCGGGACTTGGTTTCACCTCTGAAACGAGGACACAGACGTTTCCAGGGCGATTTCTCATGTTTTTGCCAGAACTAAAGCTTTTGTTGATCTGCCCTCACAGGGAAATCACAGGAACAGGCACACCTTCTCTTTTAACCCCCCCACTCTCAAATTTTTCAAGTTTATTTACATGATCCAGGACTATTCTGAGGAATGATCAAATCTGGGAAACATTAGTATGTCATGTCACCGTATTCAAGCTCAGCCGAGGAAACTAATTCATCATAACTTCTGGGAAATGACATTTAGGCGTTTTCTTGGCCCGAAAACATGGACTCTGTCCCTACTTTTGACATAATATTAATCCTGAGATGGCTGTTTCTAATTCTTTCACCCTTTTTTCCTCTTCTTTTGTCTCCTGGACCCTCAGTGAGGCCGACTGCACAACTCTGAGCTCTAAAAACAACTATAATTAACGAGCTATTTATAGAAGACAAGCTGCACACAGTAAAACAAACTGTTCTAAACATCCTGTGAGTCCTCCCAGAACCAGCAGAGGGAGCAGAAAAACCCTCAGACCAACGCTGGCTCAGTTTGATGACCCCTGAAGAAGCCAGAGAAAATATGTATCCCAGGGTCCAAATATTGGTTCATCAGTACTTCCATAACTCAACACAGACATTTTCAATAACCCTTTACCCAAATGATGTTAATCCCAACCAGGATTTTCACTTTTATGGTTCATAAATAAGGCATAAATGAGGCTCTGCCCCATTTCATTTCATCCCATAACTCTCTCTAGTTTTTAAAACAGTTTTTGATATATTTTCCATTTCTAGATATTCAGATAACCCCACCTTCCCCTCTCTGGGAGCAGCTGTCAGGCTGTAACCCCCCCCTGTAGCTCCCTTTGTTTACCCAGCTGTTCAGATGTCCCCCCCCCCCACAGCGCCCCCTGCTGGGTGGATGGAGTGTGGACATGCTCCGCTGCCAGCTGGCCTGAGGAGCTGCCCCTCCGTCCAGCTGCAGCCCGGAGGATGACCTCTGGGGGGGGGGGGGGCAGACGCTCACACAGAGGAGAAACTCACAGACTGTCAAACAGCTCCGTTTATTTTAAAAGGCACAGTAGTGTTTCAGTACAAAGCCGTGCATTTGTCCCCAGTGGGACATGGAAATGTTTCAGAACCACATACTCATGAGGAGGTCTGACCAGAACCTGGGTCTGGGTCTGGTTCTGGTTCTGGTCAGAGTGTGAAATCCAGTCAGAAAGCGACTCAGACTCAGGCAGGAAAGGGCTTTATAATTTGGCTTTCTGTCAGACAGCTGAAGCTCATAAAAACCAGCCTGAGGTCCTGATGCGGGTCGTACCAGTCCTCACTCAGATTAAAAAGGACACTTTGGAGAAATTAAAGCTGGACTCAATAAATAAGTTAAAGGCTGAAATGTGTCTGAGGTCTCTCTAAAGCTCCGCGAGGGCCCAGAATAAAAACACAGAACCACCGGCTGGATCAGAACCTTTCGGGGGGTCCTGCTTGGCTTTTTACTTAAGATCAGGCTTCAAACTTTCCTTTCTGATAAAGCTGACAGTTACAGATGCTCTGGGACCCCGAAACAGCCCATAGTTCTGCTGGGGCGGGGCCCGTGCTCAGAACTCCACCTTGCAGGCGGGGAAGGTCTCCTCCTGCATGGCCACGGTGCTGTTGCTGCCCAGCACGGTGAGCCCCAGCTCCCTCTGCCGCTCGTGCGTCTCCTGGTACCACTCGTGCATCGCCAGAGAGTCGAAGGTGGGGATGAGGGTCACCTGAGGGGAGACAGGCCAATCAGGGAGGGGCTCAGGGCAGGTGAGGACAGGAGGGGGGGTTCACCCACTTGGACGTCGGGCCAGCGGCTCTTGCCCTCCAGCAGGGCGTCCAGGATCCTCCTCATCTCCGCCTCCTTCTGGCCGTCATCCCCGCTGATGATGTAGTGGGAGGAGCGCAGCAGCCGGAACAGCTCCAGGGTCACCGTGGAGGAGGCGGGGCCTGAGGGCAGGTAGGCCAGGTCCACATACACCACAGAACCCTCGGAACCAGACGCCCTGGAACCTGAGCATCAGGAGATCAGCTTTAAGAAGGATCAGGCTCTGGTTTTAGTGTCAGATGAACTACCGACTGGGA